GAGTGAATCTGTCAACAAAATCGGCAATGACTTAGTTGCCAACCCAATAATACATAAGATGATAATTTTAATATTACAAAGCTCACAAGGGTTCAAATTATGGACTCGGTTTACTTTTTATAACAAAATGGCCTACTACTACACAAACCCCTGAATTCCGCCTTTGACGTAAACCACTATTGGCACATGAATTAATCATATCTCTATCGATTTATCAACCAAATTCTTACCAAGCAAGCTATTGCATCTTTATAAAGCATGCCGTTATAGAGGGCTTCACGAAATTTTTTTGCTCTTGCATACATGTGAAAAGCAAGAAAGCACTCAAGTGCATCAAATCTACATTGTGCACGCAACTTAAGGGAAGTGGAAAGTTAACTAAAATCGCACTCACCTCCTCATAGTTCTGTGTCGGTCCATTCTCGAAGCTCATAATACACTTTGAACACTGAGCAATATCGTCACCGAGACTAGATGAGAGTTCAAACCCTGAATCCACTACTCCACAGGTTGTAATGGCTTGAAGAAATGCTTGTAAACGATGACCAGGCAATGCGAATCGAGCAGCCCGTTTACCATGATGAGCCGCGCGAAGGAAGGCGATAGCGTTGAAGACTGGAAGAGGGGTAGATGAGTCTGTTGAATTAGGAGAGTTAGTAGAATTCTCTTTGGAGGGTGGGAGAAGAAGGGTCAGGTCACCAATGAGAATGGCTTCAGTGAGGATTCGAATCAACTCTGGCTGATGGAGGATAGTGAAGACTTGGGAGAGAAAGAACATGGCTAATGCGTGAAAGAGGTAATTGCCGCGAGAAGTGTCCTGTATTAAGAAAGAGTGATAAGAATTGGTAGAGTTGCTATTCCCTATCCAAAACCAAGTTAAAACCCCTAAAGCAACAAACATGACAAGGGTTAATGACAGAGATAGCTTGACGATTAAATGTTTCCACTAGATTTTATTCAGTTTATCAAAATGATTAACGTTTGTGGAAACCGAGTCAAGCTCCTATTTGAGACTAGTGCAGTAACAAAACGGTTGAAGATATTGTTTCTCCCCTACACGTGATGACAGTTTAAGAGTTATTCGCGGTTTAAACGTTGGCTATTAATCAAAGAGAACCTATAGCAGATTGCTAAATTACCAGACTTTTCAGATAGAAAAGGTATGGTGATTATTGGCGATTTTGGAAATTAATAAACTGGAATCCTCGATTCAAAAGTACTGAAACATATAAAGTTCGTGGCTAACTAGGAAAACAAAAAAATTTAATTTTAAATGAAATACTACACAAATAGAAACGAAAAAAGAGAAAATACATCCCAAGTGATTATTGTAATCATTAATTGAGACGACTATAAACAAAGAGAGAAATATTGGGTTAAAAAGAAGGGAGAATTGAGTTCTAGTTAATCAGAAATCAGATTCAACGTATGTAACATCAATGGATCTGTTGAAAAGGCAATAGTACATATTCTTTCAAAGTGGAGTTAAAGCTTTGAAATTCGTGAGCCATACATGTCTCTCCAGACAATTAGGCTTCAGCTTGTCCGAAGTATAGGATATATAAAAACTGCATTACTAAACGAACAATACTTATTAATCATTACCAAGTCCATAGAACAACACTGATTATCCAAGCTAAAATAATAACAATAGCCTACTTGATAGACTGACCTTTTGATGATGGCGTTTATTGAGAGAATACACATAGACGGGTAGAAAGAGACGCCGCAAAAGGACTAGGCATAACACATTGGTGAGATCAACCACTCCAAGGGCGAAGATATCATCGATGTAGTGTAGATGGTCACCTGTCTCTGCAACCAAGTCTTCGATACGGGCTCGATTCTCCCGTCCGTAAAAAAATATAAAGCAAGAAAATTATATTTGGTAAGAAATTCAACAAATTCGGTTTCTTGTTAAGTAACGTCCTTGACACATGCACAATTCCACCGACCAAGTAGCAATTTTTAAAAATAACTCAGTAAGAAATTCAACTTATTTTAAAATAAGAAGATGATACACGGATTTTAAAGTTGAAGCAAAGATAAAGAGTGGGACTCAGCAACAATAGAAAGTCTGACTTGTTCTTAAAGACCGGCAAATATCAAGAAAATGTGAGGGTGTGGAGATAGGAGAGCAAACAATGAGAAATATAGGGGGAACAAATGTGGGAATGCTGACAGCCTAATATATATATATATATATATATATATATATATATATATATATATATATATATATATATATATTAGATGAAAACACATTAACTCAAATGAGCAGTGTCTATTAATAAAAAAGTAAGAAAAGCAAAAAAAATACAATTGGTTGGGAAATCGATATATGAATGATGCCGAATAAGAAAAGCGACTTCAAAGCAGAGTAAGTATTAATAAATAAAAAGATAAAATGAAAGACACATTGAGGGTGAGAAAAACGATACAGAACAAATTTTAAAAAATCTGCAATTTTACCGAATATTCAAGCAGAAGAATTCATTGATTGCAAATGCCGTACGTCGAATTTCCTCTGTTAAATGGGAGAAGTACGGAACGGATGTATGCGAATATACATAGAGAAGACAAGCCTCATGTCGAACTAAAATAATCCGAATAATTCAAGCAAGTGAAATGAGTATTATATTTCATTATATCAATGGGATCTATGATGCATACCTTTAAAAATATTAAGAGTAATAGTTCTCACAGCGATTCTGACCATATTTTCCGCATGATCAAAGAGCTCCAAAGCCTTCTGATAAAGCGGAAAATTGGAAGTCGTCTCATCATAAAAGAAATGTATGGTATCTTCATTTACACGAAAGGAAAGGGACTTAAGAAAAGCGATATAGTATCCAACAATCTCCTCATCAGAGAAGTCAAACTCATGCAGGATAATATTATTCGTATGGTTCTGAGAAAGAAGATAGTCTAAACAGAGAGCAATTAATAAATACTGGTAAAAACTCACAGATTGCTCTACTGTTAGTAAGATTCTCAAAGAGAATATTAAGCGATTGCAGCAGTTGAGTGCAAATGCGACGATCTTTTTTCCGGTGATTTAAGTAACTAATAAGCAACTCCAGCGCATTTTGCTCAAAGAAAAAACTAAAATGATGATTAAAAACTTTTTAGGTAATCGTACTCCATAATGGATCCATCGTTTTGATCTCCCCAAACAATTATTTCGGAGAAAAGTCGAAGGCTTTCTACTACATCATCAACGCGGCAGTCTGAGGAATCATAATTCTTTAGTAAGACATTATAAAGATATCTAAAAGTGAAAATAAATCTAATCTTATTATTTCGTGATTGAAATACATAGAAAATTGATAAATATTATGTAAACTTTCACGAAATAATTGAGAGACCACATTAAATCAATACAAGAGAAAAAGCATTATCAATTCAGAATATAACTAACTTTAAATATTCAACAGAATGGAGCTTTTTAGAATTCTGTAAACCAGAATTCTTTGACCTAGAAAACATTATTTGCACGACTGATCGATTATCAGCCAATCGAACACTAGCATTGACTTATTTAATGAAATAACAATTAGTAAAATGTTCTTTAATTGAATAAGTACTACATTTGTCTGTTAGTGTTATGATTTTATCGAAATATTAGATTGAAAAAGATTTAGATATTTTTATCATGTGAACTATTAGCACTTTATCAATAGTTATATTTCTATTGGAAGTGATTGACAAGGTAATTGTGGCCCGATTTAAATTATGCTTACAACGATAGAACCTTTAACACAAGAGTGAGAAAATTTATCATTTCTCTCTTTTTGTTACGTTATCCATTTCGGGGAGTGATTTTATTTAACATGATATACCTAGATTGCCTGAACCGAATTCTGATACGATCTAACTATAAAATAATTAAATATAATAAGTATTTGCGTAAATTACTTAATGTTTTAAGGATTACTTCATCATTATTTCAATACTGCACCTAATATCACTTGAATACCAAAATGAAACAATTCTGGGACTTTTGTCAAACTTTCAGTGGTTAGAATTTGTTTATAGTTAGACAAATTATTAAGATCAGAAAAATATGAGGCGTAAACCGCACTCCGATTTCGGTAATTATTGCTAAAGACATTCAATATAATGTAATCAATTGGAGCAAAATATTCCTGATGTTGTTCAATGAGCCAAGCCAAACATTGTAAAATGTCTAACCGTCAAGATAAATAGTTGATAAAGGTTAGAAGGTAAGCGAAAATATTTGAGGGTTGTTGTATACCAGAAATACATGTGCGAGCATAGTCATATCTTGTGTTGGTGTGTAAAATGTTCAAAGACGAGTCTTCGTTTTTATTACTTAGCAATCACTGCCATTCATAGTCCTATTTGCAAATTTTATTGTGACAATGGGGTCTGACAAGGCGTTTGATTTTAACGCATGGGGTCAAATTGGTCTAAAATTAGAGAGGCTTGGAGATATTCCATTTTGAACTTATGAACTTAACGGTAATAGGAAGATTTGAAATGAACTATTGTTACATTGAAGAACTGCACAGCAAGAAAGAAGGAATTTTCAGAAAAGAGTACTGGTTTAGGCGTAATAACTGCTTGTGTAGATGTGGTACTGTGCTTACAGTCTAAATAGCTAACTCTTAGAGGGTCTGGCTAATTTGGTTGCCTTTGTGAGTCCTGTGGCTGCTAAGTGCGTAGATATTTGAGTCATCATGCGATAAAACAAACACGTTTGTCTGAGTAGGAGACAATAGAGAATTTAAAAGCCAGACGGTCAATCAATTTCCGTTAAAGAACGAGGTTGATGAGAGCTTAGACTCCTCAATTCCGGTAAAAATGTTTGGTGTCAATTATACCGTCGTCCATGTCCGGCAATGGCCCCATTTGATGAAGGTTTGATCACATCGATAATGAATGGTTGTAGATAATAATGAAGTTTTTAAAACAAGATTAAAAAGCTCTAAGGGCAAAAATTTTAAAGAATTGAATTTGAGATTTTGGCTTTCATGCAGTTATTTCAGGCATGACATGTGGATTGTTCTCGTAAATGTGCTTACAGGCCCGATGAGCTGTTCTAGCCTATTTGAAGAGTCACTTTGGATGCCAATGGGTCAGAATGATTGTGGCACCTGCAGGATTATCAGTTTGTGGAAGTTAGTCTACAGCAACTACAGAAAACCACTCTTACGAATTTTAAATAACACGAGTTAGTGAAGACACTGTATTAGATGGTTTCAAAGTTAAGTGAAATACCCACGATATTAAGCTGTAAATCGTAAAGTGTAGGCCCTTAATTATTTCACATGGGAAGAGTGCCAGCCCAACGCTTGAAGACGGGAAAGTAATAGAATAGTCTTTATGGTACATAGCTTTGGGAGGCAGAAAATAATCCTATGGAATTCCCCTAGGACACGCATGGAGTTAAAAGTTTAAGACAAGATATGGAAATATCATCGACTTAAGAGACCGACGCAAGCAACTCTCACGCTTCTAGTGCTATTAAAATTGAGCCCAAAATTCGAGAGGGTGAGAGCAAGAGAAAGGAGCTAAAAGTATTAATCGATAAATTATAAATTTGCGGGTAAGCACGTATGAGCATCATGAATATGAACATGGATTTACATAGTAAAAGAGAACAGTCCGAAAATTAGCGCTGCAGGAGGAAAAGTGATTTAAAGAGGTATTCGATAAGAAAAATCCTATAGATAAGGCAAGCAAATATTACGGGCATTAAGAAAGATAAAATGTAGAGAACACTCATTGACACTGTGGCCATACATGCTTCGGCAAGCATGCTTGAGGCTTAAGAGGAAATTTGCTGAGCACGTACTTGCATTGAGAGTTGGAAAGGTGTGATTCACATACACCTTAGATGACAAAATTCGAAGTATTTTTATTAAGGTGATTCAAGAAAATGTTTTGGAAGTTAATAGCTAGTATATCTTCAATCAGTAGTTGTGGGTGGGAGGACCATGTGTTATAATAATGAGGTTAAATCCATGGCCATAATCATGCTAGATCTTAAAAATTGACTCATCTAATACGTCATTTAGGGCACTTTCACAGAGCTGATGCCATCGGCTATTTTCTCCAATCACCCGAAAGGAAATAATATCATTTTTACAACTTTCAATTTGCAGTAAAGGCTCTTTCAAGCGAAATTCAAAAAATTCGGACAGACGAAAATAATGTCTGCAGTTGTCACCTTTTGAAGACAACATCAGTCATATGATCACAATAGACTGCTATATATACGACGACCGAAACAGCACAGGACAGGCGATTTGGGGCGCGCACACACTTGCGAAGAAGACCACCATCATAAGGAGATATAGAAAATCCTACATGACCGACGTCTCAAGATTCCTGAATATTTGCCGAATATTTCCATTAGAATACAGAAATTAAATTCCATAAATGTTCTTTTCAATTGGTCCCGTTCCAGATAGCAATCTAACAAATCAAGACTATACCACTAAATTAATTATATTAGGATGAATTGTTTCTTTGGAAAATTTAGCGGGCTAACTCATACTTCTTTTCTATTTTGCCAGATAGAAATGAAGAAGAACAACTTTCGTAAAATATAGCGATTTACTCAAATTTGTCTAATTTTATATATACACAGATTACTTTAAGAAATAATTCGCCTGATTTTTCGTTGCTTGAAGGTTGAATAATCGTGAACTCTCCTACAATAAAAAAATTAGCTAAAACACGTTGTAGTACATGATAAATAACTAACAACCTAATTTAACAACTCGGTCAATTATTGAAAGGTGAAGGTGAATTAAATGTTAAATCAAATAATATAAACTAAGCTGACCTAAAGTTTTCATCAAGATGACGAAGTATTGAAAGGTTTTGAGATTCTGCTTTGTCCTCTTTTGCATTTTCAAAAGCACTTTTCATCTGCTCGATTATTGTGAAGAAGTAACATAGGGAGGGAGCATGTCTAGAGGAGAGAAAAGATTGCTTTAGAAATATCTGTCAACACGGTGAATTATCATAACATGAAAGAAAAAATTACTTTGTTGTGAGCGCATGTTTGTAAAGGAAGAAAGGAAAATCGTGAAAACGAGTCAGGGCGTGGCAGGCTCGAGGAATTCTTGTAGTTGCAGTGAGTAAACGCAGAATCTGAATCTGAAGGAAAAAAATTCAATACATATTGCTACTGAAATATGCTCAGTAGAAAAGTGCAAAAGCAGGTTTACAAGAGAACAGTTTATGAAATAATAGGTTTATTTTCGAAAATACTCATAGATTCGAATAAGGCCACAAATGATTGAATTTGGAAGTACAAGGAAAGCCTTAGTCAAATTTTTATGGATGAAAATACTAATAATGCCGTTTCCAATCTCTAAAAGCACAACTCCTCAACTCAATTGAATTAAAACGAGTGCGAAGCTGTCAACAGAATACGAATTTGAGCAGGAAAGAAAGCGATAATCTTTTTAATGCTGAGAGGATGCAGATTCAATGGGAATTCAAGTGAAAAATTTCTGGATTTCTGTAGTGGTAAAGAAAAATATTCCGATTCATATGCCTCAAATATTTCCGTAAAGCTTAGCTTTAACACCATGCATCGGCTTCTCCAATCGATATATGCCCGCTTTACAAAAGGACATTTTACTACTATTACAACTATTTATAGGAGTAATTAGGAAAGTGTGCTCAAATAAAGCGCGGTACAATCAGTAATAGGATGCTTAATCGGATTGGCTAACTGGAAAATGACGGAGTGACAATTTTTACTTTACAAAAAATTTTGCATAAGCAACTGCTATAAGAAAAGTAGTTTTAGGAATTAAAAAGCCAATGGTATAGCAAAAAGTAAAGGTTGAATTTTCAAGGACAATGTTATGATGACTGAATATATACTGAAATTAGTGACAGCTTACTTGAGTAGCCGTATCAATGGCAGGATCGGGATAAAGCATGAGAGCATATTTATACACACGAGACTTTTCCAGGAGAAGATAATCCGAGGTGTCATTCACACTGTCGGCACACAGTTTGAAAATCCATTGGCGCTCCACGCGGAACTATATCAAATAAGTAGATGGGATGATGAGCATAACATGTTAAAAAAATTGTGAAATATGGAAGAATTGATGTGAAACTTACATCCTTATGAACAGAGAAGGCCACTCGAATAAAATCTGGGGCAGTATTCAAATCAATCGCAGGCTTTGCCAAGAATTTGTTCCAAATCACCTCGTACATTCTATGCTCTAAACAGATAGGAAGGAAACGCACCTTAGATTAGCAGCCGTTTGATGTAGGCACATATGCATTAAAAGCTAACAAAATCGGAACACAACAAGACTCAGATGTAATAGAGGCAGGAAAAAAGGCCCAAGAAAAAATATATATTATCCTAATATAATAAATAAAGGCAGTAGAACAACAGTTGTAATATTAGATTAGGTTAGGAAACGCAGCTTGAATTTAATCATCTGCTTACTTAATACTTAAGGCCTTTAAGGCTAAACTGACTGAAATTATGGAAACTACGTACAAAGGTCAGGAGACCCAGAAGAGAGAACGAGGTTTGTCTCGATCACATCTTAGTAGATTGCATAAAAAGGAAATTCTAGATAGAGATTTGAGACAGAGGAGAATCAATATAATCAAATCACCGTGTCGCAAGGGGAATGCATTACGGGCCTGAATGCTATAATGGGTACGATCCAACGGTCAAAAATAGAGAAAAGGAGATGATTGGAATTAATACTATCCTAACTTTCCTGTATTTGCATATTTCTGAGTAGGAAGTAATTAGAATAGTTACCAGAACATACACAATGGTGCAATTTTATCCCAACCGCAAAATAAATCCGATTTAATATGTTAGCTTAGAATATGAAAATTAAATTTTAGCAAAAAGGTCACAGTATCAGTAACTTACGAGGTTTAGTGATCATCATCAGTGAATTGATGAAGAAGTTTGCATGAACTCGCGTTAGCCTGAACGAAGAATCGGCTAACGACCCAAAGAGGAGCCTACTGCGTACCCCACCACCCAATTCATTTGGGATCGTACTCAAACTGTACCGGAGGGTATCCAACATGAAGTTTATCTACAACAACAAAAAACAAAAACACCAATGTCACAAACACCGGAATACAAAGAGAGATGACGCAAGCCACATACCTGAACGCGCTCGGGAAATTGTTTCATAGCAGCTACAGAGGGAGGAAGAGAGGCCACTCTAGTCGGCTTCCATGCCTCCGAGAGCCGCTTAAATAAGGCGATAATAGATTTGGCAAAACCACGAATGTTACGAGAGTAACTGGAGAGGGCACCGACTGCGTAGACTAAGCAATGGCGAGAGTAGAAATTGCGGAGTTCTACACGACTTGGATGCAGCTCCTCCTCTGGGTCGTCTGTAGAGTGGGGAGAAGAAAAAAACTGCTTAACTGATAAAATTTCCATTGACATTAAAATTAAGAATGAAATTCCTTCTCTACATATTTTTTTGCAATAAGTTTAATGAAAAAAAAACGATTAAACCTCTCTTGGGATTTGTGATAAGTTTCCCCTTGATTCTAGAATATTATGAAACTGATATGGAGCGGGGGGGGTGGTGTGCGATAGACTTACTTCCGCGTGGTGCACCCTGGGCAACGTTTACTCAGAAGGCAAAAAAGTCTATTAACCGGCAGTTGACTTCTGGCTTCCAACTACTACCCGCCCACTGGATGTCATATTCGACTACTTCCACATTCTCACCCCACCTTTTTCTACCTTTGTGTCTGCCTCTTTTACATCTTTGAAATACTCTTCTGTTCTCTCGACTTTTTTCCCTTTGATGTTCCTTCCTTCTTGAACCCCCCATCTCGACTTTTTTCACTTTGATGTTCCTCTTCCTTTCTGTGAAGCC